ATATATACTAGTCAAAACAAAATAAGGGCCACCACGTTTTTATAGTTTCCTCATGAAATTTTGAGGTTTAAGGGTTAATTAATGATTAGATTTGATAAATTAACTGTTTTTTATTATTAACAGCACAAAATGATGAAAGCCACATTCCAAAAAAATAAAATACCATTTTTTCTGAAAAACTAACATTTTTGCAAGCAAAACGTATGAAATAAAATTAAATGAAAAAAGAAAAACAAATCAGATATTGGTTGAATTGTAACTCCTCAATATTTAGTATGCCCTCCTCGTTTTCTAATGCACTCTTGAAGCCTGGATGGTACACTCTCCACCAAGTGTACCACTGTTTCTTGAGGAATTTGTTCCCAGCTTGATTTTAAAATGTTTATTAGCTGTCTTTCATTGTGCACGGGTTGGTTTGTGCTTCGAACGTTGCGTTTGAGTAAATCCCACATGTGTTCAATGGGATTGAGATCCGGACTGTTTGCAGGCCAGGGCAACACCTGTATACCAGCCTCCTCTATAGCTTCTCTAGTGGCCCTAGCTGTATGAGCGCGAGCATTATCGTGCATCAGACGGAATCTTGCGCCGATTCTTTGTGCATATGGGACCACATGAGGTCTTATGACCTCCTCGATGTAACGTTGAGCTGTAATTGTGCCTTCGTTGAGAATTATCAACTCAGTTCTACCTGATGTAGAGATTCCTCCCCACACCATAACGTTAGGGCCCCCAAATCTGTCACTTTCATGGATACAAGCATCCGAAAATCGCTCACCTTCACGCCTCCAGACCCTGATGCGACGGTCATCACTAAAAAATTTTACTTTGCACTCATCCGTAAACAATACTGTGCTCCATTCACTCATATCCCATGCCAGATGCTGCCTTGCGAACGATAATCGGTTTGCACGATGAGCACTTGTCAATGGTATCCGCACTACACGTCTCCTAGAGAACTGCTGGTCCTCGTGTAACCGATTTCTAATGGTTTGATCACTAACACGTGTACCCGTAGCCTGTCGCAAACGGTTTTGTAAGGAACGGGCTGTGATGCAGCGTTCTCTGCGCGCAGTCAAACGTATGTAGCGGTCTTCCTGTGCGGTAGTTGCTCGATTTCTGCCAGATCCCCGTCTCCTGGTTAGTCTCCCAGTCTCTTGAAATCGATTCCAAGCATTCTGAATTGCTCGCCGAGAAAACCCCAGCTGCATCGCAACAGAACGCTGCGAATGGCCTTCTTGAAGTAATGTTACGGCCCTAGTTACGGTTGGTAAGTCCATATGTCGTCGGATTCTCGGCATATCTTTGTTAAAGAAATAACTCAGCCAGAAGTAAAACAAAACTAAACTGTTCTTGACAGAATCGTCAGTTTGACTGACTTAAAATCCATCTTAAAATCGGGTAAAATCAAGTGGGTACAATAAATTATCAAAAACTGCCCACTTCACAGAGTTATGCCTGTAGAACACTTAAATAAATATTTGTAAACAAATAAGGTAACGCTGTAATAACCATTCAGCTACTTGAGTACGAAGAAAAAATAAATTATCGCTGCCGCTGTTAAAAATAACAAGTGGCCCTTATTTTGTTTTGACTAGTATATATACACACACACACACACACATAAGTAAGTAACTTCTAGTTCGATAACGTATCATGAGTATGAAAAGTGATGAAGTATTGTTTTTGTCACGTACTTAGTACCAATCATTACAAGTTTAGTGCATACAACTATAACATTATATCTTTTGTTTAGCTAGCTAGCTAGCCTAACTAGACATTATAAGATCTGCGGTATTGAAACTAAAATATAAAATTAATACATATTAAACCGAGTTGCAGAAATATGAAAATAGGTACGTATGTTTGTATTTGGTGTTAACTATTCATATTATTAAGGTTTGATTCGTTGAAAACCTATTAAAGGCGGATAATATGGAGTAGGTAGGCCTGCCGCCGTCTGATAACGAAACGAAAATAATATTGTTTTAATTCTTATTTTCAGGACAACACCGTCATCCATTAAAAATGGCATCAGGAAAAGCTAATAAAAAGTAAGTACCTATACGTACCTAACTATTTAAATATAAATTACGCATTTGTTATTGTAGGTATCTAATTATATTGCACTGTAAGTATTATCTGAAGCCAATATATCACATTATTGGCATTCCGATATGATCTGTACATAATAATGACACTGTCTTATACATACATGACAAGTATTTACCTAAAAATAACGACAAACGACCTATAATATATTTTCGAAAAATCCCAATTATAGGTAATGTCAGACACGTCAAAGTTAATACTAAGAACTTTGTTATTTCCACAGAGTTGCAGCGCTGGCCATTGACCTGCCGGAATGTCCAGTTTGTTTGGACACGATGTGCGCCCCCATCTTCCAGTGTCAATCGGGACACAGCCTTTGTAATAACTGTACGCAGAACCTGCTGCCGCCAGTATGCCCAATATGCCGTCAAAACATGACGCAGATGAGGAACTGGCAGCTCGAGGAAATTATTGCCAAGGTAACGTCAAAGATACTAAGTCTACACAAAATATAGCTATAGATGAAATAGTTCGTGGTCTACGGGACCATTAGTTGGAAAAATATACTTAACAAAGCTAGGCATAACATTTGTAGACTTGGTCCCATCTGTGTATGTTACACAAATAACGTCACAATTTCGAAATGTAATAAATTAATAATGTTGAATCTGATTTGCTTTATACATATAGGTATCCCACTTGAATCTCTCTCTATTACCATAAAATAAGTAACTTCATTATTGCATTGATGATTACGCCTGATTACAGTCTTTCGTACAATTGCGTATAATTACGTACCATAAGTGCTTGTGTGCACTCAATTATATTAGGTATCTACTTGTATAAGAAAAACTGATAAGTGATAAGTACCTATCTTCCACACAGAAGGAAACCAAAAATAAGCAATTTCAAATGCATTTTATTGCAGGCAAAAGTGCCGTGTCCTAATAAATCATCTGGATGCGTGTACACCATGATGGCAGTGGATTTGGAAGACCATCTTAAAGAATGCATCTTCCGCGAAATGCACTGCCCACTCGGAGCTGTCTTCGGAAAGTGTTCCTGGACAGGTAAGAACAATATAAGGTTTGTTACCTTCTCTTTTTAATAGAGAGTCGGTTCAATGTTATTCCTAGATAGTATTCGACACTTTCGTCCGACTGAGTTATAGGGAGGAAATAGCAACTTCAGCACCGAATTGTACAACGATTCAAACGATACGTGATACTCAAATAATTGTTATATTTCCAGGTAAATTAAAAGATATGATGGAACACTTTAAGGATCGTCACGCGGAGAACTGCGGCGTCACCACTGACGAGGAAGTGGAACTTGCCAACGTCAATATAAAAAATGATGATCGTCATCTCTTCTTGGTAGCACAAGCTAAGTTTATTTTTATTGTCACCGTGAAAATGGATACTCTCCAGAACATGGTGTACTGGACCATTCAGCACATTGGCAGTAAGAAAGTGGCATACGATCATATTTATGAGATACATCTGCTAAGCAAGCAGACTCCAAGAAGGAAAATTGTATTCACGGAACATTGCTTCAATGATGCTGTTAAACCTGAAGAGGTATTTCGTGAAGGCAAATGCCCCATGTTGCCACTGGAGGTATTGACTAACTACATCAAAGACAAGAAATTGTCTTTCAGATTCTTTATCAAGAGGATCCCACCAGTGGTACCCAAAAGTAGTAATGATAAGGGGAAAAATGACAACAAACCAAATCCTGGACCGGGACCGGGACCAAAAGGTCCTGGGCCGAAGGGACCCAAACAAGCAGATGGGAAAAATAAACAAAATGGACCGGGTCCTGTTGGAAAGAATCAGAAAACTAAAGCTTAGTTGTAATATCATGACTTATTTGCTGTTCCACGTTTTCAATGTACTCGAAATCTGGAACCTTACTACTAAGATACATTTATGTGACTAGGTCGACTCGTTACAATGAGGATTAGGTTGAGATTGGAGGCCAATTCTAATGATTACGTGCCGCACATTGGGACTCGTAATTACTTTATTTTTATATAAAACACGTGTACCTGATATAATAATAAGGCTGTCTTTAGCTGTTCGCCTTGCGAACGATTGCATTAGGAAAATAAGATCTTGTACACAAATTAAATCATCATTATTTTTTTATATTTGATGGGCCGACTTGTCGGTGACCGCATGATCAGTTACCACCTAACGAGGTCACTATCTCATAAGTAGTGGTAAGCGATGATGCGGCCTATGATGAAGCACGTTCATCCTTAGTCAACCTTTGACACCCCGTCACAGATACACCTAAATGTATCCAGTATAAAACCGAAAGGCTTGTAAACTTACGCCTGTGTTAAAGCCGGGCCTCCACAAGCACATCATCGTGGAAGAGCCTCTTGGCACGCCTCTCGATGGTATCCATGGTATGGTATGGTCCGGCTGGTATTTAGCCGAACTGTCCCAAAGATGAGAACTGTACTCCCTACAGGATCGAACCTGTGCTTGTTACAGGCTCGGCAAATATTTCGGCGTGAAGTACCGTCTTACCATATACTCCATAAAATACCCAGGCCAACTTCCTACCAGCCGGTTGCGCTTTCGACTCTGTATAGGAACCAAAGTTGAGTGTGGGCACCAGAGTGATGGCCTTATGGTGATCAGTTATCGGAACTGATACATTCCGGAAAGTAGGATTCAGCTAAAATTTACTTACATTCCGGAAAGTAGGAGTCAGCTAAAATTTACTGTTTGGCTGAGAATAAACACGCCTAGGTTTTGCTAGCGTTGAACTTGACCAAGTTGGCGTCACCCCAGTCTGAGACCGTCTTCAGGTCAGGCTGGATCTGTATTCCGCTAGTCCGCGCATTGGACACATACCTTTCAAGAACTGTGCTGTCATCTGAATAGCCATAGATACCGGGCTTAAGCAGGTCATTTATTACGTGCAGCAAAAAGAGTGTCGCTGAAAGTACTGACCAACCCTTATGGGCTCCGGCGTTAATACCGAATTGATCAGACGAGCGCCTGCTCGTCTCTTACGTCTGACGTCGATGGCTATCCATGACTACTCGAATTTACCGATGCCTCAGGAAGTCTGCTATCTATCTTCTCAGATCAGGAAGCTTGCCGACAAGACTGTCGTGGCATACATTAAAGGCCTTTGAAATATCGAGCGAGACTGCCAATGCGGGAGGCGTGCCTCTTGATGGCTTCGATACAAATGTGAGTGGCGTACGCAAGAAGGTTCCCAGTAGATGGGTTGCGTTGAAACCCGTATTGCCGATCGCTCTGAGGAGATCGTTACTTTCAAGGTATGCCAGGAGTCTAGTTCCAATATTCTGTGTATAATACCAATGTTCTAAAGCAATCAAATATTAATGTGCGTTCCCTAATGGCAGCCTGCGATCACATTGGAGGCAACAGATTTGCCAACGAAGTGATCATGAATGTGTCAAAAGAAGTACCTACTTGTTAGGTTACTTCTGGTGACATATATAAGAGTATCTTTGCCGAAGGCTGAGAAACTCAAATTAACACGTGTTTTTTTAAATAAAGTTATACAATACCTAATTAGATAATTATGATGTCCCATTGCGAGACACGAAAAATTAGTTTTGGTCTCTGATTAAAACCAATTACTAATGATCCGATTTAGTTACGTTATATTCCGCACTTTTTAATTAGTATTTAGGTACCTAATTACGCACCTAGATTTCCACAAATTCCCCAATTATGGTAAAGGTTTTTTACATAGGTACCTACTTTATAATTTTAAGATTATATTGATTTGAAGAATTGTGTAGTTTGATAGACATAAGGTTTCATTTTCGTTTATCGTATCAAGACATCGGAAACTTTGTTTTTTATCTCGTTAAAACAGATGCAGGTACCTACTTATAATTGACCAGGAACAAAATACTATGTACCCACTAGGTTAACTCCTGCAGCTTTATACACCTGGAAATGAAGACATTTCTCTTGGGTAGGTTGCGATCGAAAGAAGATTGAGTATAAATATTGGAAAAAAGACAGAATATTGGAGATTTTTTTTCGATAGTGAAGAATTTTGTTTATCTTGCCATTATTTTCGGGCCCTATTCTAATATCAATTATTAATATATGTATAGATAAGTATTCCACCAAGTACACACGGCCACACATCAATCTATACAAAACCAGTTTATCCTGGTGTCGCGTCGCGTAATCTTTCCGTGCATTTAACGTTCAGTTTATACTGGTTTATGTAGCCGTGTGTACCTGCACTTTTTTCCAATTTACCTACGAAATCGAAAATTATGATTATAAAAAATGATGATCATTGGTCACAATTTCTTTTTTATTTTTACTGTCTACAAAATTATGTGAACACAATTCCTAAGATACCTTAGTTAGTTTAGTATGATATATCTAGACTACCCTATGTACCTACATACCTACCTAGGTACGACATACCTATTTTAATTTTTATTCTTGTATATTTTAATTAGTTATACATGATTAGGTACAATGTACGTAACTATATTATAACAGCTTGCATTATGATACTTAGCTTGCATTTAGATTTAGAAAATAAAAACTAAAATGAATATTTTGTTTTTTTATTTACAATCACAGCACCTTTATGTCACAATATTTTGGGGCGTCCATAAATTACGTGAGATGTTTAAGGGGAGAATGTTGGAGGGGGTAGACTCAAATCTCCTCTAATCTTACGTTGGAGAGAGGGGGGTCTCGGCAAATATTACGTAATTTTAATCTGATTGAAACAAAAAAAAATTACAATTTTAAACCATTCAATCAAGATTGTACATGCTTAAGATTTAATTTTTATTACACTTATAACTATCAGACAGGGACTCGTAACATAAGTAGTGAAAAGTGGGTGTTACATTGTACTGTGGCATAATGCGCACCTCTGCCTACTCTTTCGGGGATAAAAGGCGTGATGTTATGTAATGTTATAACTAAAAACAATATTGATTACGAAGCACGAAGCTATTTTTTTTTCTTTTTGCAATAACAATTCGACGCGTTTACGTGGAAAACCAACATTTTGAAAAATCGCACGTGATGTTGGGGGATGGGGGGAGGGTATCTATTAATAAAATAAAATCTCACGATATCTCACCAAGGGGGGAGGTAGGGGCAGAAAATTAAAAAAAGCACCTCACGTAATTTATGGACGCCCCCTTACCTACCTACCTATATTTATATACATTATAATATTATAACACAAAAGAGAACAATAATGGACATGTAGAAAGGATGGATGAAAGTAGAGTAACGAAAGAAGTATACAGAGCGGATATGAATGGGGCCGTCGGTAGAGGGCTCCCTAGACGGACATATAGTGACCAGATTGGCGATATATTAAAGAAGGGCCAAATTAAAAGTACCCTTAACCGACGAGCATGCATGAAAAGATTGATGTCTGTTATTGAAGCGAAAGAGGTATGTAAAATCGTAGTAATTGGCATTCCTTACTCTCTGCCTACCTCCATGGGAGACAGGCGTGAAGTTATGTATGTATGTATGTAGAGCAATAATGAATATACTAAAACCTTTACCAAAGTGTAACAATTTTTTTTCTAAAAATCGCATCAAAATCGATTCATCCAGTCGCGAGATAATCTCGCACAAACGTATGTACTCTATTATTATAGAGGTATATTCGTTATATTTTTAACTTTGACCTACTGACCAAATAATAAGGATTAAACCATTTTATCTGTCGATATATGAGACACAATAGAAAAGGCATTGAGTTTCGCGTAGATCTACGAACAGACATACCAGAGGCCGGTAGATCAGACTATCAGAGCCTTAGAGATTAAATGTTTATCATTATACCTAACCATTCTCCATGTGAAAGTAGACCTTTTCTCAGCAGTTGGACAATTATCTATAGATTAAATGAAATAGGTAATAGAATCTGTATCTTGAAAATATTAAAATAATAAATAGTAGGGTGTTACTAGATCCCTAAAGAGCCAACAGAGTAATTCAACAGACCACCACAGATGGGGCCCAATAGGGCTGATGTCGATACCGAGCCGCTGAAAACTGAACGAGTTATCGGCTCGAAGTGCGAGTAGTATACCCGACCTTCTCTTAACAAATTATCACGATAGCATCACAGATAACGCGTATCACTGAATTTTGCAGGCATCACGAATGTGTTACAAATTTATTTCTCACGATTGTGTGCTAAATTTGAACCGACTTCTTGTTACTAAGATGTTCTTATATTTATCTACTATTGTAATTTGCATTCCACTATACAATTCACGCCTGGCTAGATTTCCGGGTCGAACTAAGTGTAATTCAAAATCCAAGTCTATTTAAGTCGCCTCAAAGAGCCATCAGACCACCACAGATGGGGCCCAACAGGGCCGATGCCGATTCGGAGTCGCAGAGAACCTAAAGAGTAATCGGGGCTACGGCTCAACGTGCAGGAGAAAGAACGGGGTGGTTTTTCGTCAGTAAGAGTCTGACACTGCCTTCCGCCTCACGCAGGCGTGAGAATTCATTCGATGATTTTCCCCGCTTAAAAAAAAATGGGGATTACTAGATACGACACCGAACAGAAAATGTTGTTAATAAATGTTCGTCTGTCTGCCTGACCGTCTCTATGTTCACGACTCACGCAAAAACTATCGGTTCTATTGCGATGAAACTTGATATAATTATACTTTAATGTCCTGGGGCATCACACTGGATACTTTTAATCCGGAAACAGTATATAGGTACACTAAAAAATAAATTTATTTGCGCGGTTCGATCCCTAGACACAATTACCTACTGTATCAAACGCAAATATGTATGTGCAATGGACATTACGCTGTAACTGTATGGCCGATGGTCTAAATTAGTTTGAATCGCTATTATAAATGTGAAAATTTATGAGTTTGTGTGATTGTTTGTTTCTCAAACACGTCAAGGCGGCTGTAGAGACGGGGATAAAATTTAGAACATAGATAGGTTATGGTCTGGACTTATCTAGAGTAGCATATAGGCTACTTTTTACCCCTGATAACGCGGGCGAAGCCGCTGGCAGAAGCTAATCTATGCTAGTCTATACTTTTATATTATAAAGAGGAAAGATTTGTATTTTTGTATGTTTGTAATGAATAAACTCAAAAACTACTGGACCGATTGCAATAATTTTTTCACCATTAAAAAGCTGCATTATTCAGAAGTAACATAGGCTATATAATATCACGCTAGGTCCTATAGTTGTGGAGCAGTAACCAAAAATGTTTTAAAAACGGGGGAAAAGTATCGTTTCTGAGGCCTTCCGTGGCGTGCGCTGAGCATATAGTTAAAGTTATACAAAAATGCTCTATAGATGAATTGTTCATCTTAACATTATTTTTAAAAAAGTCCGCGAGAGCATATGTCTACCTTTTATAGTTTACCCATAACAATCGTTTTAACTCGTCGAGTACCGGTTTTGTAGACACAATTATAGAACAATAGGTTGCGGTCACCGGTGACCGCTTGGTGTTTGACAGTTTAATGAATGGTTCAATCCTTATAAATAGGTAGGTTCCTATTTAAGAAGAAAATAATTAATTAAATAAATGAAATAAGTAAATGAAGTCCGGAAAAATATTTTCAAAAGGTAAATACTTCCTAAATAAAAAAAAACTGAGAATAAATAAAACGTAAACCTATGTAAAAAATCTTAAGTCCCCCCGTGCGAAGCCGGGACGGGCCGCTAGTTATGAATATTTTTGTATGTTATCTACTTAGTAGGTAATTTGTAGTAACTAATTATGCAACAAAACTAAATTAGTTAGGTACTTAAGTAGTGCAAGTACATTGAATCATTAGTAATTGTTACCGAAATTGTTCCTAGTTAGGTAAGTACCTCATTTATAATTTTTAATACGTAACTAATTAGGATTCTGTCATTAACGTCCCTATATATAAAATAAGGTTTTCTAAAAGCTACCATAACCGTTGTTGAACTGCTATCCTGAGCATCTATCATCTACTTACTTCATTAAAATATTAATATTTACATTATGGAAAAAATGACGAAAAATTTTGGTAAGTAAACTAAAGTTGTCGATACATAAGCGCGATTAATATATTTATGTTTATTTTGCTTGTCCTGGAAAATACTTAATATTAACAAATATTTTGTTCATTTGCAGAAGAGACCCGTCAGCCATCGGGAATTAAGCCAGTGGACTTCAAACGTAATGCCAGGTAAAGTACTTACATACTTGCTTATATTTTGTAATTTACGTTTCCTCAGTAACATTTTTCATTGCATTCTCGCCTGTCATTGGTCGAGATTATTCTCACAACCAATGACATGGCGGACCGCGATCGAACTCATTTCGAGAGTTCAAATTGACATCTTATAGAATAGCTTAACTGTTCATTAAAATTACACTTTCATATTTTTTAATGGGGTTATTGCCAACTAGTCAAATTCAATATTTTTTTCGAACTGTTAATAACAACAGTTTTCTATGAATTTTGTACGCGATTGTGTATTGTGACGTCACGATTTTTAGCGTCAAACATCATACTTATTTCTTTAAAAAATGCTGGAAAATACTAAAATTGAGTCGGTCATAAAATCAATGAATGAAAGTGTATTTTTTTTAATATTTTATTGCATTGTACATCCGAAATAATGTATTTTTGCTTAAGGAAAGTACCCAATTCTTAGCAACTACCTACCTTAAATATCATTAAAATTTTCCCCTTACCCACTAACATTTATTTTATTTAACAGGCAGTACCCCGAGTGCCTGTGCATGATAGAACTGAGCGAGCCGATTTACCAGTGCGAGTCGGGGCACAACATGTGCAGCAAGTGCACGAAGGAGACACCAGTGTGCCCAATTTGCCGAAAACCAACCGGGAAAATGAGAAACTGGCAGCTAGAGGAAATAGTTGCATATTATCGAGGTAATTTCAAAAATCTTCATTTTTTCGTCTTTATTTTGATTTACTTACCTATTTAAATTTTAGTCTAATTTATTCAAATTTGGTAATGACATTTTTTATTTGATTATGCTGAATTTTATTTATTAAACTGTCAAACACCAAGCGGTCACCGGTGACCGCAACCTATTGTTCTATAATTGTGTCTACAAAACCGGTACTCGACGAGTTAATTTTCAATAATCTAAATCATTGATGCGTATAATCATTGTATTTTGTAAATAAACTACTTATTAGACAATAACTAAGCACGCGTGCTCCAGTTCTAACGTCAATTCTCATTTCAATTTATAAATCTATGTTTCAGCCGAAGACAAATTGAAAGAGATGGAAACACTGCAGCACATACTCTATAACGAGTGTCAAAAGAAAAGAGACTCCTAGCCGAATTCTGATATGTCTAGACAGGCAAGACATTTTTTTTACTTTTATTTCTCGTAGCGGAGCGATAAATCGACAGTGGTTAATAATACACTACAATACAAATGTTACATAGGTACGAGTCATCTTGCAACGTGTGCCCGACGGGTTCTGTAATTGTTATCTACGTAATATTGTAGTTCCGATCACCTGTATGTGTACTTTACTTCCTCTGTACTTATTCTGAACGTGTGACAGATTTGATACCCGTACGGAACAACTCTTTGTAACCCACTAGTTGTTGTTCCGACCGTATATTATTTGTAAACGCACCACGACACAAACAATACCTAGTGTGGCACTTTTTTTTAATCTAAGCTCCATGAATGGTTGTAATACTGTGTTACTTGACTCAGGGGTTAATATTGTTCTATTTCGGTTCCAGGCAAAATAAAGGACATGATGGATGGAACACTTCAAGGATGGTCACGCTGAGAACTGCGGCATCACCACTGATGCGATGCGGGTGTCGTGGAACTAACGTCAATGTTATTTAGTTCCTTTAAATCATTCTGTACCTACCTAATATTATGTGATTGTGAATAAAACTTAAAAAAACATCAATTTTTTTTTAATTCTTAAAAGTACAAGGAACAGTGTTGTGAATGATAATTTTCTCACTTATGGTCTTCATGATAAAATCCTTATTATTTAGAACCCTAAGGTAAAAAAAATATTTTTCTCTACAGCCAGATTCCTTAATCTGTTCATTGATATTTTTGACAGAAACTCCACAAAAAAATTATCTTATTCCAATGATTTTGGAATGAGATTGAATATTAATTTCGGCCATTGTTTGTAGTGTCTAAAATGTCTAAATATGAATAAAACCTCAACCCGATGGCACAGCCAGAACAAATTAGCCTACAAACGTTATAATGGGATGCTATACATATTGGTGTTTAAATTGAAACACAAGAATAATTTTAAGTTTTTATTTCCTTACACCTAGATGTTCATTTCTTAGCCTTGGCTTCTCGTGTGGCTTTCCTCTCTGCGGCACGGGCAAGCTGCTTTGCTGGTTTCAGGTTGCCTTTTTTGCAGAACCTTTGGTTCCTTAAGAACTTAGGGTCCATCTGTTAAACAAAGGAGTATTATTAATTTCCATTTCTTATGGTGAATATTTATGTTTACAATATACATAATGCCATTAACTTTCCTACGAGAGTAGTTAGGTTGCATAAATGTAAGATAGTATTCAATATTTAAGGAGGTAAAAGGGCTATTTAGTTACAAAATTGTTTTGTTATATTATTTTGCTCTTTTAACCCGTTGTGTGTCCAAATGTGGATCCACATGAGACACAATGTATTTTCTATTGTGTCTTATACATGCGGTTCTCATTCACGAGGTTAATCTATAATCAGCAGATTTGGCATTAATAAAAAAAAAATTGTTGTTGCAAAATAAAAAAATGTTTTATTAACAAATCCAATGATTCGTTATTAGTGTTGGAGGCTATTGTTCAAATACACAAATGCCACCCAAGTCTCACTTAAACTGTCAAACACCGTGAGGACACCGGTGACCACAACCTATTGATCTTTAGTTGTGTCTGTAACATTACAATTTTTTTGTAAATTGACAGTGCAGGCTCGATTTTTAAGTACAGCCTTTCAGTAGTCAGGCATGAGTCTCAGAACTATGTATTCTTGTTTTATCTCAACTTTATAGTTAAATACAAAGATTCAATTTATAGACTATACATAATAATAAAAACTGCTGCCTATTACGGGGATCATGTAATAAGGTGAGCCAATTGTCATATTATACTGGGCATGGTTGTGATGATAACTAATTATGATACTTTTAGTATGAGATGTCACAATAGTACTGTAATAAGGACTAACAACCGATTAGAGACTCATACTGAGTCATATTACGTTCTAATAAGCACACTGAAATAACTCAAAATTATTATATTATAATAATAATCAACACATCCAGCTTTAGTTCACAAGCACACGGTTTTAAGTATAAGTTCTTACTGACAAAGCTGAATAATTTAGCTTACATTCTTGTCTTTGATTATTTAACACTTAAATATCTGTACACAAGTTAGGGGAACACATAATATAACACTTGTCTTTACTTCAAATTTTAATCGTTTCACATTGAACTTTTCGTAAGGTTTCCGTGTTACTATTACTAAAAGGAGTAGTAAACAAACACATTTTGTATTGAGAAGTTTGGAGGAGAGAAATGTGCAGTACTTACGCCAAGGGTGGATTCGTGCCTCTGATTTGTAGGCTTTTTGATGCCATTCCTGTGGGCTTTGCGGTCTGAAATAAAAACAATTCCGTTTTATTTACAACTCTCAAAATCTAACCATACTTGAATAGAGACGTGTTGCATTTAACTTATATTAATTATCGCAGAAACTAATAAAATTTTTCAGATAGTTACAATAGTTTTAAATACTCACTTTGGTTGTGATTTGTGTGATTCTTTGACTTTGCCATTTCGTCAAATTGCGAGTTCTGAAATAGAAAATAATATAAAAATTACAATATTTGCCACTAACTTCCTCAAGAGAACAATTAAATCTTATTCAATATGAAAAGATTTTCAAGATATTTATGGAATTATTTTAAAACTTGCAAACACTAACCTAAAAACAGCAAGAGAAAAAGACAAGAGGAAAACAATCCGGCCTGAATGTCAAAAGCAAACGTAAAAATGTACAAATAAAAGCATTATACTACTAGTGTCTCTGTCACTCTTACGATTTTGGTATATTGCTCTTTCGCACATACCTATGGTTTTATGTTCAAATTATGAAATTGAGGACTGGAATACGCATAATCTTGTCAACTGCGTTCCGTTTTATTTAGATTTTTTTATTTTATTATTAATTACATTCATCTAGTGAATCTTGAGTTCATGACTGGGTTTTAGTAATGGCGTTCGTTTCATCATTTCATCAATTCGTTTCATCACTATTATTTACATATATTTATTTAAAATTCTCTATAAATTACATTTTTAAACACTACTTATAAAATAAAAATAATATTTAAAAATATAAAAAATAGGAGCCGACCAGTAGCGGGAGCATGGTCCAAGCTACCGGTGGTTAGGGCTCCAGAGACAGAAACCTCCTCACGATACGTGCCGTTTCTAGGAGAACTGCCTTCTGTATCAGGCCCTTGATCCATCCACCTAACGCCAGCCTCCTAAGATGGATGTCGAGGCTTTTAGGGATTAACCCATTGGCCGACACGACTATCGGCACAATGATAGCCGAATCCACACTCCACATGTCGACAACCTCGTGAGCTAAGTCTAGATATTTTATTTGTTTATCTTTCTCAGCTTTCACGAGGTTCTCGTCATGGGGAATGGTGACATCGATTATCATCGTGCGGCGTACTTGTCGGTCTATCACCACTATGTCAGGTTTATTGGCTACAATAGTCCTGTCAGTAATGATAGACCGGTCCCAGTACAATGTGATATGGTCATTTTCCAGAACTGGGTCGGGCACATACTTGTAGTACGGTACCTCAGATTCAACAAGTCGATAGTGTAAAGCAAGTTGCTGATGGATAATCTTGGCTACTTGATTATGCCTATGCAAATATTCACTGTTAGCCAAACGACCACAACCAGAAATTATATGTCTAATGGATTCACCAGGACTATGACATGCCCGACATATGTCAACCGTCCCATCCTTAATTATATATTTCCGATAGTTATTCGTAAGGATAACTTCGTCCATTATTGCACAGACAAATCCTTCAGTTTCTCCAAAGAGATTACTGAATCGTAGCCAAGATACGGACGCTAGAAAATCTACATTGGGCCCATGAAGGGCCCGGAAGAAGCGTCCGTGGAGCTCCTTGCTATGCCATACCTCCTTGCGATCATTGACGCTCAGTACCACAGGTTTGCGCCAGTTCTCTTTTGCCAAGGATAGTGGAGTGAATCCATTGTCCACTGCGGCTACTTCTCGATGCATACCCTCGTTGACTTTCAGGAAATATTCCCTGAGGTTGCACACCTCACGGTTGTGAAGGGTCTTAGCATTTAATAAGCCTCGACCACCACACTTCCGCGGGATGTACAACCTCATGACCGACGAACGAGGGTGATGCATGCGATTTGCAGTTAGCAGTGTCCGGACTCGCCTATCCAGGGTGTCAAGTTCAGTCTGAGTCCACTTGAGTATACCAAAAGAATACATTAGGACTGGCATGACCCAACCGTTAAAGGCTCGCACTTTGTTTCCGCCTGATAAGGAACTTTTCAGTACCCTATTCAGACGGCCAAAGAAGCGCTCCTGTAACGATTGCTTCATGTCCGGTCCATTAATGCCTAATCCTTCTGACATACCCAGGTACTTGTATGTATCGTTTGCGGAGAGTGATCTCAGCTTTGTGAAATCTGAGAGTTCTAGACCCTCAGATTCCACAATCCCTCCTCGCTTTACATGCATGACCGCACACTTGTCTACTCCAAACTCCATTCTGATGGAACTACTAAATTTTTCAGTTATATTCAGTAGTTCCATCAGTTGTTTCTTGTTTGGCGCAAACAACTTGAGGTCATCCATGTAAAGTAAGTGGGATATAACTAGACCCCTTCTCCGCAAAGGATAGCCTAGAGCTGGTACACCGGCGATGACAAGAGCTCGACGGATGATGTCGTTAATGCTGGCGTGTCGGGCTCTACGGCCCGCGCTTCTGCTACACGATAGGCCGTGGTGGCCGAGGTGGTCGACCATCTCACTGCATTGACAGCGATGCGGAGAAACACAGGGTGCACCTACACGCAAGCAAGCAGCAAGCCGAAAAGTTGAGTCATTCAACATTGTGCCAATATTGAGTGACGGAAGTGCCTGAAGCCAGAGGCCTGATTCCCACTCACCCACAGCCAATAGGCGAGCTAACTCCGCAGGATTCGTGCTCGTATTAATGAGATTATTAAGCACCAACCTGCAAAGCGGCTCGTTCCATTGTCTCTGGAAGGAAGGGTTGATAGGCAAGGCTGAATTAGGACATGTTTCTGTCCAGACGTTCATCGCGTCGCCGCGTCGGTCAGACACGGCACGTCGGGTTCAGTGATAACACCGGCAAAAATTTTTCTTGTTAAAGTTGTAGTGCTGTGGACAGAAGAGATGAACGCCGGTAAACTTACACTGGAAATTTTGCGAACGCCTAGACCACCAAAACGAATTGGTAGTGTGGCTTGAAGCCAAACACGATCGTCCATAGAAGCATTCAAAAGTGAAGTTAAGGTGTCACGGATAATTTGGTCAATTTGGTTCAGAATATGCGGATGCTTCCACAAAGGGGAAGCACGCAGAAAATACATGGGCCGAAACAACAACAACAAATTAAAGTAAAAGCACAATGTAGATTAATTTTGGAAAGTCTATCGGAAATGTCACAGAAATTTTTAATTTTCTCGTTTATGAAATCAGAGAAACTGTTTTCGAAAATTGGGGAACCCAGGGGATGAAGAGAGTTTTTACTAACAATTTTTAAATTCGGCGCTATGGTAGAAAAAGTGTTTAAAATTCGTTTTCTATTAACAATTTTGACTGGAAGGTAAATTTCGCATTTAGAAATATTTAATTCTAATCCGATGGATTTAAATTTAGAAATCAAAAGCTGTAAATCATGGAAAACAGTTTCTGCGTCACCTCCTAGGGTTCCATCATCCAAATACCAAACATTAAATTTAGATTTAAGTTGCCGAATAATAGGGTGAATAGCCAAACTGAAAATGACTGGACCAAGAGGATCACCTTGTTGGCAGCCTACTGCAGAATCCAAAACTTTGTCTTTATATAATAATTTTGAAGGTTGTCTATAACACTGCCAAATAAAACTGTAAACAGGTAATATTTTTTTAACTTCAGCCAAAAAAGTGTCCCTATTGATGGAGTTGAATGCATTTTTTACATCAACCTTAAGGATGACCTCACTTTCGTTAGCATTCAAAAAAGATGATAGGGCATTTACGGCAGCCTCACAACCCCCTTTTCAGCCGAAGCCTAGTTGGAGGGGTTGAAAGTGCGACATGAGCGCATCTTTATGATAGCTGCAACACAACTTACGCATAAAAATGTGAATGTTTCAATAAATTAAGAATTTTTTATTTACAGATAATAAAAACTTAAATATAATAAATACTAATTATCACTAAATAAATACAACTTAACATAAAAATTGATTAAAATAAAAGTAAAAAAAACTAATAAATGTCTCTAGGTTTTGTTTTGTGTTTTTATATATCTATGGTCAGGAATAAAATTTAAAAAAAATATGAGAAATCCGGACGTCAACGTCAAGTTATCATTGTCATATGACGTGCCAATCAATGCGTTAAGTTCCATGTAGCTCCGTAACGAAAAATGGTTGTATAGCATATGCAAAGTACGTTTACTATTTACTTGTTTCAACTCACACCCAAACAACCGAACGAGTAAGGGAGAAGAACTGAAAAAATCATGACATTAATGTAGTTATTGTCTGACCTAGAATAGAATGTATAACATGTGTCGTGTTGTCTGAAAGCTGTCTTTATAAATTAAAATAAAATCGAAATAAAATATCGTAAAATTAAATTAAAATAATTAGTAAAATTAGTGGCAAGTCACAATGGTTGTGTTGGAAGGTGATTCCGGAGATGCTAAACCTGTAACTTCCGAAGAAAGTGATAAAGAAGTCAAGTCTCCAAGACTGTTATCATTAGAAAGTATCCTTTTTAACATGCAAATATCTTCATATTTTAAATGAAAAAATGTTATTCAATTATTTTTCATACATAATCACTACCCATACATTCAGAAACTGGTGTTTAAAATCGAATAAATTAATGCTATCTTTATCCTAATAATAATCTTATTGGTTATTCATAAAACATCTGCAACTTTTTATTTCCATTGCTTTCATGTGGTTATTAGCTGTTTCTATATAAAGGTCATATAATCTAGCTTTAGTAGTCTAAAGTTTTCTAGTGAAAGGGTTCAAGGTTTCTATTTGGTTTATAAGAAACTAAAAAAATATGTTTATTAATTTTCATGTACTTGTTTCAGTAACTTTCAGATAACTTGGTTGATAGTTCATTGTATTTTGGTTTAAGTCTACATAAAATCACAAGAATGTAATAGTTATGGTATACTATCATTTAAAATTTTTGATACAATGAATCATTTTCAAGAGTGTGAGGGCATTGTATAAGAAACAGGGCATACACAACTTACGTTTTTTGCATGAAGTTCTTAAATTAATGCTCATAAATGTGTGCTTCAAAAATCTTAAAATAGTTACAAAATTGTTTTCTAGATAAGTTTGTGTTCAAATACAAACCCAATATGTTATAATGGAATCAGAAATTCTATTTGAACTAATTTAATTATAGTTGATTTCTGATTAGACTATTCTTAATATTAATTTGTATTTCAGCAATCTATGTTTGTGTTAAATAATGTTTCTTGAACTAGCCAATCAGTATTCCGCATAACTAAGGATGCCCAACAACAGCATGGGCTTCGCCATGGTGACTACCAGCGCTACAGAGGATATTGTTCAAGGCGTCTCAGGAGACTGCGCAAAGTACTCAAAATACCGCAGGTCCGTACATTAACATGTTCACTGCGTTAAAAATTTTGAAAGCCGAACTGCTGCCCTTAGGCACTAGTGATGTGGTAATCTAAGAGTCAAATGTTTCAAATTCTCTAGTACCTATTTACTACATTGCTAATAGTCAATCTCAAACAGTTTTAATAACTAACAATTGGCCATAGATGTGGTGCTGACGAATTTATATACAAGTAGTAACCAAAAATTAACGTTGTTCACTTGGTTTCGACAGGGCGATAGACGTCACTACCGTCGTCGTGACGTCACAACGGTGCACTTGACGGCGACATCAGCCGAGGGCCGTCTTCTTTGCGTGCCCTTACTTCAAGCTGAGAGAGCTTGGGCACATGCCATGCAGCTAAGGCAAGAGGCCAATACGGAGCCTAGAAAGAAGTTCCATCTAGTCTCCCGACTTAAGAAGGCATATGCTCACGCGCAAACTCTTCTGCAGTTGTGCGAGGTAAATAACTTTTTTATCAATATTCTTTTCTATGTTGATCGAATGGCGTAAGGGATTTTGGAAGGATTAATTTCTTTTTGCGATATTAAAAATTGACAGTTATAGCAACAATTCAGGTTATGTCGTATTGCATAGATATGCATTTAAATATGAATCTTGTTACATCTATAGCAAAGTGGAGTTTGCGACGCGCGCACGCAGCTGGAGGCGGGCGCGTACGCGGCGTGGTTGGGCGGCGCCTTACTGGTCGAACTGCAGCAGTGGCGCCCCGCCGCGGAGGCGCTGCATCGCGCGCAACTTGTGCTCGAGAAACTATGCGCGGCATTACCGGAGGACGAGCGTTTGCCATACAAGCAGAAGGTATTAAATATACTTTCAAATGTTCCCTAAAAGACGAAATTATCGCCAATTTTAGTGAATGGCTAATATTAACTGACACCAAATTATTGATACCACTTTTTTAAAGTGGGTTTAGTCTATCTGCCTCTTGTAAAATGTATGTCTTTCTATTTTCTAATGAAAGATGACTTTATATGTAGGTGGAAGAACTGAAGCCTAGCCTTCGTTACTGCGCCTACAACATCGGGGACGAGTCTGCGGCTGGTGACCTCGTTGCTATGCGCGGCCAGGGACTCATCGAGAACTTGGACTCACTCATGGCACAAGCTAAGTTAGTACTTATTAACGATAAAAATTAAAATTTAATAATCAATGTCTTGTTTGGGAATTTGGCTATGATGATCGTTTTTATTACAGGGAGTCTCGCTCTGGTGTGATGCATGAAGTGGAATGGCGCGGCCGCAAGGTAAGCGTGAAGCCCGAGAAAGTGCGACTCTTCCTCATCGCGTTACAAGACCTTGACAAGTCCGTCGCCAACGCAGACTCCGTCCAGGCCAAGATCGATATCCTCGAGAATATTCTGATGGACTGCAAGGACGCCATATCAGCCATCAAGGATGAAATCAAAAGCGACCCCAAGCTGAAGTCTGCTTCCGAGATCCAGATGTCTGGCATCAACTACTTGCTGTCTTACTTGATGTACCTGCGTTTGATGCGCACTATCGACAGGAACAACTTGCTGGTCCAGCAGGCTGAGGAAGCTCGCAAGAACAATATACAGATCGACGGCAAGAAGGTCCGGCCCCAGGACCTGACGAGACTCTACGAGATCATCTTGCAGAACTTAACTGAGTTGCAGCAGTTGCCTGGATTTGAAAACGACGCGGCGTATCAACAGGAAATAGAGACATTGACTAAAGCATACCGCGCGTTCCGTTGCTACTACATCGCTCAGGTACTCACCGGACTCCGTCGCTTCAGAGAAGCTCTCGCTATGTTGGAGAGATGCAGCAACTACTCCGCCGAGTCGCTCAATACCAAACTAGATGACAAGCGCTTGGTTGAGAAGTTGCAAATGTTGAAGAAGGACATCGAGAGCTGCAAGTTTGAGGTCCATGCTGACTCTGTGCTAGAGGATGATGAAGATCAAGATGAGGACACGAAGTACACGAGTGGCAAGTCTTACAAGGATAAGAAGCCTCTAGTCGATCGTTTGGACGAGTACAGGGAAGACACTCAAGTCCTTACGAAGAACCCTAACATCTACAAAATGCCACCGTCGATGGAAGCCATTCCTTGCAAGCCATTGTTCTTTGACTTGGCATGCAACTTCGTAGAGTTTCCGAACCTGGACGATAAGACCGGCGCAGCAGATAACAAGAAGCAAGGCGCCGGTCTCACCGGACTGGTCAAAGGATTCTTGGGATGGGGTAAAAGTGACAAGTGAACATAGATTTATTTATACATTTTCATTGGTTTTACTATATACCAGGATTTGTTTTTAAAGGTTCAAATTATATACAACAACAAATTAGTCTCTTTATTTATTTTCGAATTGTTTTAATCAATCAATGCCCCTCATCAATGGTCATGACATTGGTCTCGGGTTCGTAGTCAGGGTCGATCATTCGCGTCTTAATAATGTGTTTGTAGACAAAAGCAGACTTTCTTGGCGTACGAGTGAGTTCAGGATCATCATAATCCACTTGGTATAAGCCGAAACGTTCCCTGTAAACAATGAAGATATCAGCATATTTCTTATAGCTATACGTAAGAACTTTACTTTTATTCGATATTTCAATAAAACTTTAGTTAGAACATAGACTGCACGGCTGGCGCGCAACGTGGCGCGGTTTCGAATCCCAAAACTAACACTCGCAAACTCTGTGTAGGTAATTGTTGTTCCAGGATCTGGGTTTGATGTGTACGTGAATCTTTGAAACACACCCTCGACACAACACGAAAAAATCCTCTAAAGGACGTTCTTAGGTATTTAATAAAAGAAATAAAGATGAAATAAATGTTAAATGACGCTCACGTGTATCCAGCCAGCCATTCGAAGTTATCCATGAGACTCCACGCGTAATAGCCCTTGATGTTGAGTCCGTCGTCCAAAGCGTCTAGCACGCCCTCTAGCGCAGATCTGTAGTAATCCACTCGGTCATCATCATCTATGCCTCCGTACGACGACCAACCATTCTCCGTAATATAAATAGGAAGATCCCCATATCTTTTTTGAATTAATTTCAATGTGATATACATACTGTCTGGCATTTTCTGCAAATAGATTAATATTACATTAGAACTACGGCAAGTATGGCAACATTAAATAGTATAATATAAAGTTTGTTTCCGCTGTTTATCCCTATGTAGGTAAATGTATGCTTTTTTTTAAGGGGGGAAAATCATCGAATGACTGCTCCCGCCTGGGTGAGGCGGGAGAGAGTGTCAGACTCTTACTTACTGACTAAAAACCATCCTGTTCCTTCTCCTGCACATCGAGCCGGAGCCCCGGTTACCCGTTAGGTTCACCGCGACATGTATAATATGTATGCTTAGATTGTTAAAACTACGCCACGGCTACAGAACAATACAGATACAAATCACATGTTACGTACAATTGACCTCAAATAGTTAGATGCCTGCACTAGGACAATCCTGTATCGTAGGCAGGATTGTCCTAGTCAATTGTACGTAATTTAGATATATTTTCGAATTTTGCATTTTTGTTATTATGTATAAAGTTTTATTATTATTATTTTATTACATGCAATTGTATTTTAGGTACGTATAATAAACCGCTATTTATCTTATTAACCAGCATCTCAAATGTCTAATTTCGATTGAGATAGTGTCATACGTAATATTATGTACTTTATATTCTTGTAAACAACAACAGAATGATAAAATTTATCATAGTGATATCTCCATCATAGTGACACTTGAATCTTCTGCAAAGAAGATAACATTATAGGTACCTACGAGGAATTTGAAACTGCATTTGATAAGTAGCTGGCGTTAATAAATTGATAGGACCTATCTACCTACCTATAGAACTTTAATGCATTTTCAATTTGCAACTTTATCGTATGGTTATAAAGTTCAAAGTCATAAAAATAATTTAAAAGGACATACTTGGAACCATGCAGACGCAGACTGAAGCCAGTCATCAGGTATCATTTGTCCCACTTCAATATCGTCCAAGGATGATGGTACGGCGTACTGTGATGTATACAGAGAGGACGAAACCAGGGATCCAGTGTAATGGTTGACGCCATAGAAGTCGCTGGTACCACGTATATAGGCCTTCTCTTCCTCCGTAAAGTCAATTAGTCTAGATCTTGGGAAGCCCTGCGCTGCGCTTTTTTTAGCAACCAACTCTAAAAGCTCTTTAGGGAATCCCCCGTCCTTAGAAAATACGGGGTCGCTGTATATTGCCCACTGGAAAGGTTAATTTTTTTTATAAGATGAATAAAAAGTAGCTTAGATATGTAATTCAACAGAAAGTCGAAATCGTTATTAAACACAGGGGAGCCATGCTTCGGCACGAATTGGCCGGCTTTTTACAGATAACGATAATAACAAAGTAGTGTTGCGGGAGTGGCGCCGATTGTTCACCATCAGGTGATCCAAAAATTTTGATCATCTGATAGTGGGCGCAAGGTGCATTTAATAACAAACCTGATGTTGGGTCATTAACTCCGCGGCATATTTATCTTCTTCAGAATCCGTGAGAGGGGCTACCGAGTCCATGGCGAAGGTGTAACCACACACTCCACCGTATTTAGGCTTGTACACATTGTTATACAGGTGGTACGCTTTGGCGTGAGCGAGGGCAATGTGTCTTGCGCATATATACTCGCCGATTCCTGTTGCATTCAACAATGGGGCCTTTATATCAGTTCCGTAGCCGTCGTAACAAACTTGTCCGGGCTCGTTGATTGTGATAAAACTCTTAACTCTGTCGCTAAAGCTCTCGTACACGACACGAGCATAATCCTCAAACCAGTCAACAACAAGAGGGTTCAGCCAACCGCCCAAGTCTTGGAGTTTTTGAGGCAGGTCCCAGTGGTACAAGGTAATTATAGGATCAATGTTGTATTTAAGTAATTCGTCGATAAGGTTATTGTAGAATTGTACGCCAGCTTCATTGACGTGGTTCGCGAAGCCAGAAGGTAATATCCTAGACCACGACAAGGAGAACCGGTACGAGTCGATGCCCAACTCTCGCATCATCTCTACATCGCGCTTGTACTTGTGGTACGAGTCACACGCTACGTCACCAGTGCTTCGGTCAACAATTGCATCTGGATTATTGTGGACTAAATAATCCCAGATGTTTTCGCTTTTCCCTGAAATTACAAAGCATTTATAATCACGCCTGTTGTTTTTAGAAATTCGCTTGTCTATGATTCGGGTGCTGTTAGAAGAAAGAATTAACCAATACCTAACAATATTTAAAGCCATCATCAGAGCAAGAAACACGCAGTTACAGTACACTCCGTCATAAGGTAGCCTAATACGGAACATTTCAGAATCCAATCCATATATCCAATCAATATTATAACATTATTATGTGTGCGTTACCCAGGCAAAATGTTTTGCTTTAGAGAGATGAGACTTAAACAAATAATTAGTGTATCATGAGGAGCAATTTGTTTACTAATAGCAAAATTTGTTTGAATTGTAGTTTTTAAGTTATTTGAGAAAAACAAATTTTGCTGGAGTAACGTTTGAAACGTTACCCAGGCAAAATAGTCTTTCAAAAATTAGTTTCAGCACGGAACCAAATACATGAATAGATAGCTTTTGTTGCGTAGTAAATGTTTATAAATAGCAAAATTTGTGTGTGGTATAGTTCTTTAGTTATTTAAGATTTTGCTGCGGTAACGTTTTGGGATTTCCCAGATCTCGAAAACGGCTCAACGCAGAAGTTTGAAAAAAATACCAATAAAAGACCTCAATTTGTTTAAATTTGTTTAATCATTAGTTTTTGATTTGGTTGACGTAAACCAATGTAATTAAATGGTTTCAAAAATCAGAAGAAACGGGTTTGCAAGTAAACCAATACACTTATAACCAAATAAACAGCTGTAAAAAATACCCGTGGTTCGACGCTTGTTTACAGCAGACATTTTAGATTTCATACTTTACACGTTAAGAAGATAAAAACAAATTTGATTTATTTTAGACTGGTCGTACTTTAGCGATCAAATACGCAGTTCCCATAACATTAAGAAACATGGCATACTTTAAACAAATTAAAATGATTCATGAAAATTCCTTCCTGTTAATTTCAGCTTTGAATTACGGCTCTAATGAAAGTTATCTCAAAAACAAGAATATGTCAGCAATTCTCTAATAAGCCGACCAAATTGAAAAGGTCACGTAAAAGCGACTGCACCGTACGTACGGGTAATCTTCGCAAATTAGCAGCTTGGTAACCGATGTTTTGTACAGTTAAGCAGAAAAACGTTATTCGTGAAGCCGATTTTTTAATATTTTTTAAGTGCAGTACCATATTACACAATTTTTACTAGTTAATGCCAATTAAAATGCCATACTGTGAGTCGAGGTGAAATGGAGTCCACCTATCAACCTACGTTATTAGTACCTCCTAAGGAAAATTGTACAAACTATTAATGTATCCAAATATTAAAATTAAGTAAGTAGGTTATAACTTATCTGTGATTTTTCTCTAAAAATGTTGATGCTAAGGCAAAGCAATACATATAATTTGTATGAGACTGATTTTTTAAATAAAAATAATGAATCTTAACCATTTTATTATTTTAACTAACCTGACCAGAAAACTTTTGTATTCAACTGTACTAACAAAACATCTATATTATCCTGTTCATTTCAGATGGTTGCGCTTATGTATGGTGCGGTCGCTTTTATGTGACCTTTTCAATTTGGTCGGCTCATTAGAGAATTGCTGACATAATCTTGTTTTTGAGATAACTTTCATTAGAGCCGTAATTCAAAGCTGCAATTAACAGGAAGGAATTTTCAGGAATCATTTTAATTTGTTTAAAGTATGCCATGTTTCTTAATGTTATGGGAACTGCGTATTCGATCGCTAAAGTACGACCAGTCTAAAATAAATCAAATTTGTTTTTATCTTCTTAATGTGTAAAGTATGAAATCTAATATTTCTGATGTAAACAAGCGTCGAACCACGGGTATTTTTTACAGCTGTTTATTTGGTTATAAGTGTATTGGTTTACTTGCAAACCCGTTTCTTCTGATTTTTGAAACCATTTAATTACATTGGTTTACGTCAACCAAATCAAAAACTAATGATTAAACAAATTTAAACAAATTGAGGTCTTTTATTGGTATTTTTTTCAAACTTCTGCGTTGAGCCGTTTTCGAGATCTGGGAAATCCCAAAACGTTACCGCAGCAAAATCTTAAATAACTAAAGAACTATACCACACACAAATTTTGCTATTTATAAACATTTACTACGCAACAAAAGCTATCTATTCATGTATTTGGTTCCGTGCTGAAACTAATTTTTGAAAGACTATTTTGCCTGGGTAACGTTTCAAACGTTACTCCAGCAAAATTTGTTTTTCTCAAATAACTTAAAAACTACAATTCAAACAAATTTTGCTATTAGTAAACAAATTGCTCCTCATGATACACTAATTATTTGTTTAAGTCTCATCTCTCTAAAGCAAAACACTTTGCCTGGGTAACGCACACCATTATTATGCAGTGCTTTCATAAACTAAAATTAGGCACTCTTTTGCTGTTAAGCTAGTAAAGGGAATATAGAAATAAGAAAGAAGTAGGTTAAGAGGTAGTATATAGACTTGGGCATTGTCGTTCACTTAATGGATCTAGTTCATCAAATCTCGTTCCGTAAAGTGAACTCGTTCCGCTAACTCGTTCCACAGTTCATTTCGCTCCGGAGTTGATTTGGTAGGCTGGTCAGTCAGTACTACTGGAGCGAAATGAACTGTAGAATAGTCATGTTTTCGACCGAGTCCGGATTTGGAACTTGTTTAGCTATTCGTTCATAAACTGTGGACTATAACAATAAGATATTACGTCACGTATGAAATTCAGTTATAAAATAGATTCCATTTCCCTTCATACTTTTTCAGGCTTAGGACTGACAATTAAAGTGACTCATATGAATTAATAAACCTACTTTTCACTTTAAAAATCGACTCTATTTACAATATTTTTTTTATGTTTCTTTTTTTTGTTTTCTCTAATCACATGTATGAATTATTAAACCCATTTTTAATGTTAAAAGGCGTAAGTATTTAAAAATCGACCCTATTTATAATTTCGTTTTTTTAATTTTAATTCTAAAAATTCTGAAAAAAACGTAAAAGATTAAAAGTAACCTTTTCATTCGTGTAACCTAAAAGTAACCAAAGCAGTTCAAAAATCACCTAACAGGTTACAAAAGTAACCTTGTGGCAACGCTGCTCTCGTTCCTACCTACACACACTGACGCGGGCTTGGACTAGAGACGCGGGAATCGGGATTATAATGAGCCGGTGAACGACAGAGTAAAATAATATACCTTTATAGGAGCTGGAGCGGTGAACTGTGGAACGATAATTCCGCACAGTACTGAAATAGTTCAGTTCGTTCACTGTGTTTGAGCAGTTCATCGGAACGAATCGCTCCGGAGTTACTCAAGCCTAGTAGTATATGCTCTATTCAGTAGATACCTACCATCTTCATCCCATGCTCCCTCGATTTGATAACTAGCAGTAGCAACTCCGAAGACGAAGTCATCTGGGAACTTTCTGCCTTGTCTTACCTTACCATATGTTACTGCTACTGCAGAGCTAATAAAATATTTTATTTATTAATAAATTCTTTAAAAAAGTTAGCCCTAAGATGCTATGGACGTATACTATATCATATCAGCCATAAAACGTCAACTGTTGAACATAAGCTTCCCCCGATTAATTAGATTGATACAGAAGCGGAGTGAATAGTACCTATATTAGGACACTGTTCTTATATTATAATCTATTCTTCCCATGTTATCGTACCTACCTAATGTACGGCCAGTACATCAATTTACTATGCAGGTACGAAAATAAAGATTGACTTGGTACAGAGACAGTAGCTATTATTATACTAAATGTCCAAATACTCAAACGCCACTGTTCTCTACAAATTCTTTGTAAAATGACAGAGATAGCACGATATTTAACTACAACTTTAAATTGGGTAACGTTTAAGTACTCGAGCGTAAATCATATAGTTTTTAACCAGACCATCTTCTGTAACCATTGGTCGGTTCAGTAGCCAACCAGTGGTGTCTCTGTACTGAATCAATCTTAATTTTCTTACCTGACTGTGCCTTTAGCCAAACACCACTTTAGCACTTGTCTACAGAGAGAGTAGAAAACTAAATGTATGGGGATGACACTCAATTCCATATAATTTGGTTTTCTATTCTACAAGTAGACAAGCGCTAAATGGCATTTGGCTACAGGTGTTGCATAGTGAATAGCTGCGTTGACTCTCAAATGTATTCTCAAAAAGAAACTTACCATAATAACAACACGAGTAGCTTCATTATGTAACCATGCAGTATTGCGAGACCACCAAGACGCCGAAACATATTTATAGGCATCACTTATCACTCATCTCTGCTAAACCGATCCGGTATTATGACACATGTACTTGAAACTATCTAGATTATTATGGTTCGGTATCATTTGTACACACGACCTGTCGAATTTATCAATTTCTATCTTTCTGCAAGCCATGTGAGTTAATAACCAGTTACCATCACGACTATAAGGAAAAGGTATCAAAATCATATTACATAAACATAATGTTACCTCAATTTAATAGATTGTCAACTTTATCGTTATTAAAATAAAGTAGACTTTACGATTTGATGTTTTTCACATTGATACTGCCGACAGGGATCCACTTTTTATCCATGACACGCGCGGTTGTTATACGAGTTCTTGGTACTATCTACTCTTCACAAATTTGTGTGAAGTATCTACAGAGGCTATGGTCGGTCCATAGGCTCGTGTCTAACGCAGTCGGGCAACACGAAATAAATACGTAAGTTTGTAATTCTGTTTATTATATAACAGACATCATTCACTAGTATAAATTCGTTATTTTAACGTTAACTGTAACTTGTAAGTTGAGATCGTTTATAACTGAGTCATAACATACTTTATCTCTTTAGTTAAGATATTATTGTTACTGGAAGGAAGAGAGCAATGGTTTTATCAAACAAAGTTTGCACTTCAATATATAATTATATGTATATAAGGGTATGTACATACGTCAATATAAAATTTTAGCATTGTATCTGTACAATGCAAAGAAATGTATTACATACACAAATGTTTAACTTTGCACTGATATTTTGAAGTATAATTTAGCACAGGGGTCGCAATGAAACACTAACAATAATCAACAAAAATATTTTACACAAAACTCAAGATACGGTTCTATTTAACGTACAAAAATATAATAAACTTTGAAATAATATTTTACATCATAACATTTACATTTTACAAATCACATGTCGGCGTGTTTAATTGCGCTACTGTAGATTTATATGATCACATAATACTACACAGTCAAAGGAATATTCAGGCTAGCGATACGATACTGTACTGAGTACGGTTACAATGACCTACTACGTCGCGTGGAACAATCGTCTATGAAATAACTAGATAGGTATGTACAAAAAAATCCCAATTTTAACATTGAACTTCGAGGTATAGTCTTTATATCTCTGTCGATGTCTGTCGTCCGGGTAATGTAAGACATTACTGAAACGAATCACTAGTAGCGAACAGTTAGACACGAGCGGGCGCGGCGCGCTAGCGAGGCGCGGAGAGCGCGGGCCAGTGGTGCGCGTGGTGCGGCGCCGCGTCCGCCGGCTGCAGCAGCTGGCCGCAGACTGCGCACACGGCCAGCCCGTGCGCGCGCGACACCACCAGCTCCTGCTGCTTGGCGATGTCGGGCAGCAGCGCCACCAGCTCCGGCAGCACGTGCTCCCACTGCGCGCCCAGCGCCGCGCGGCAGTGCTCGTGGAACTGCTCGGCGCTGATGGAGCTGTCGCGGAAGGCGCGCGAGGCCACCTTGAAGTCCTCGACGGCCGCGTCTCCGCCGAGCGCCACCGAGAACTTCTTCACGAGCGCGCGGTTCCTGTGCTCGAAGTTGGGCGGCGGGATGTACGTGTGTAGCGGGGCGCTGAAGGTCTGGCCGGCCGAGTTGGTGAACGTCATGCCGTCGCAAGGCGGGCGCGGCTTAAAACCTGGCGGGACGCTCCCGTTCATCATCTTCTTGTTCGGAATACAGTTCTCGCTGCGAGAGCTAAGCGGCGGGTAGTCCTTGTCAGCTAAACTAAAATCTCCATTGCCTCCGTTTCTATTCCGCTCCGGATTGACTGTACCGCTGGGTACAGTGTCCACGGTCTTAACCTTTTTATCTTCTACAGACTGTATATTGTTGTTAGCATTGACGGAAGCGTACGACTCCCTCAGCAGCTTCTTATCGTTGGTTCCGTTGACATTATAAGCGTCCAATAAATTTTCCTTTTTACTATTTTGTTTCTTTTTTTCCTTTTTGCTAAGTTTAGTGTTATCATTTGTGTTTTGAGGTGGCGGCGGTTGTTGCGGCGGTTGTTGAAGCGGTTGTTGCTTCTTCTTCGCCTTGGATACATTGACGGGTAGTGTGGGGAAGTCCGCGACGGCGTTGAAGCTAGGCTCGCGCGGCTGCGGCGGCGGCTCGGGCTTGCTCGGCTTCTGTTTGTCTTTGGACTTGGACACCGTGATCCACTGCGGCGGGGCCACGGGCGCCGCGGTGGACGAGAGAGCGGGGAACGCTTCCGAGCTAAGCTGGGCTTTCTTTGGGTGTGAGTGGACGTGGTTATGTTTTAGTGCTTGCATCTCTTGGCTGTTGATAATAGCAACCTGGAAATGGAAACCAAACATAAATATATACATCAATCTGAAGATGTATATCAAGAGCAATATCTTGTTATCGATGCTTACTTTAGGCGCCTGTACGGTGGCGGCGCCGAGGCTGGGATGGTCGTCTCTGGCGAGGCCGAGCGAGGGGAAGTCGTCATCGTTCATCATGGCCGGCGGCTTCTTCTGTTGCGGCGGCACAGATATGCGATGTCCACTAGTCTGCGTCAGTCGGAAGTTGCTGGCGCTGGCCGGCTGGCTGTGCAACTGAATTGATACGCTGGGCTTACCTGGAAGAGAACAAATCACAATATTAATATTTGAAAAAGTTATTACAAGGACTACCTTGAATAACTAGGGAGAAATAGATATGTAACTAGGTTAATCCTAGTAATTCTAAAGTAAGGAATTGTTATGAGACTTATGCTATTTATAATTATACTACATTATTTTTACCTAAAAGTTTTTTAATTTTTAGCACTCTTTTCACTTGTGACAAGAGTAAGAGCAGATTACGTTATTACTATCTTTTATTTCGACTACCCTCTCGCGCGCCTCCCGTACACACGGGTAAATATTTTAATAGAAAAGCGAATGAACTATTCTGTTCAATGAAATAAAGAACGGGTCGCAAACTTGAAAATATACGTCACAGAAAAAATATCCAATCGGTGCGCGTTTCTAGTACATCCGTGTGTACGAGAAACACGCGAGAGGCTACTTATTGAAACAAATCACAGGTACCCACATAAAACTTTGTGTTTAGAAAATAATCCGTATAATACTTTCAACGCTGCCTCGTCGCAAGTGGTCGCGACTGCCGGGCAAGGGGTCTCTAGTTCGATTCTCGGGTCGGGCAAAGTATTACTGGGTTTTTTAAAAATTTCAGTAGTAGCACGGAGTTTGGAAATGTGCCCGGTACATGGCAATAGGCTCACCCGCTAATACATGGGACTCATAACATAAATAGTGAAAAGTGGGTGTTACTTCTGTGGCTACTCCTTCGGGGATAAAAGGCGTGATGTTAAGATTTTCAATGCTGTAATTGAATAACACTTACAGTTTCTAACGATGGTGGCAGCCACAGTAGTAGGTGTCGTGGCGACGGGCTTCGGAGCTCGCGAGGGCCCCGCTCCGTCCAGCGCTGGGAAATTCTTATCATTACGCAGCAGACCATCCACACCTGCCAATGTATTAACAACTTTATTAATATTTTAATAAGTGTCAGTTTGTTTTTAATAGTAAAGTATGGAAAGGAGCGAAACTTAGGTTTCAACAAGGTACTGTTATTTTGTTGTGTAGAAGCTTTGGCTTTGTAAATTTAAATCACTTTACTAAACAATGATTTATTAATTTAAATGTAAAGAAAACTAATCCTGTATTTCTTTGTAAACAAAATTAGGCAAGAATACTGTTTGACTTAAGTTTAAAAGTAAAGGTCTTTTTCAATCATGTATCAACTTAATCGCAATTCACGTCAAGGGTGTCAATCTATACTAATATTATAAAGAGGAAAGATTTGTATTTTTGTATTTTTGTATGTTTGTAATGAATAAACTCAAAAACTACTGGACCGATTGCAATAATTTTTTCACCATTAGAAAGCTGCATTATTCAGAAGTAACATAGGCTATATAATATCACGCTAGGTCCTATAGTTGTGAAGCAGTAACCAAAAATGTTTTAAAAACGGGGGAAAAGTATCGTTTCTGAGGCCTTCCGTGGCGTGCGCTGAGGATATAGTTAAAGTTATACAAAAATGCTCTATAGATGAATTGTTCATCTTAACATTATTTTTAAAAAAGTCCGCGAGAGCATATGTCTACCTTTTATAGTTTACCCATAACAATCGTTTATGTAAAAAATCTTAAGTCCCCCCGTGCGAAGCCGGGACGGGCCGCTAGTCTTTTATATATATAATTCAGCTGTGCGTGTGTATGTCATTTAACTCCTAAACGGTTGGACCGATTTAAATGAATTTTTCTGTATGCCTTTGAGGGGCACCCGGGATGGTTTAGATTCACAAGTCAGCCCGGCAGATGGCGCTGCAGTCGCTATTTAGGTTATTTATCCTAAACGGCTGAAAAAATTTGAATGAATTTTTGTTTATACATTCAAGTGAATATGCAGGACAATGTCTGTCGGGTCCGCTAGTAGTCTATATATAATTCAAAAATCTTAAGTTAAATTTGGCACTGTTGCTAGGTTGTAGGCTAGCAACACTTACTTTTATAAGCGCGTGTGGGTGCGGAAAGGACAAGTCCAGGCGCCGGGGGAGCGGCGGACAGTCGCGGGAACTGCTCCACGCTCCCAGTGTCGATGTTCGCCTGAGTCAGCGTCGGTGGCGGCGGGGCTAGTACGGGCTCTTGCTCTCTCCGATCTCTGTTCTCTCTGTCTCTATCCCTATAATGATTTACATAGGAATATAACACTCAATATGGTGCATTTGAATAAGAATTTCAACCATTGCGGTGTTTACTGTGTACCAGTGCACCATTTAGGAATATAATTCAATGGCATTAAGTTTAAATTTTGTGTCCAAAAATATATTCATCATTGAAATTGTAAAACTTGAGGGGAAACGGTGTTGTCGACTATATTTCCACCACAAATGTAGACAGTAAACCTTTACATAGCTGAATGCAATCTACAAACAAAATTTTGAACACACCCATACATCTAACTGTATTAACCCTGTAGTATCCTGAAAAAGCTTCACGACGAACTGCAATCGCCTACTGAGAGTAGAGATAACGACAACCCTACCCGGTTATCCCTACTCTCTGCAATCGGATTCCTTCTTCCTTGAAAGAGGAGACCATTGTTTTAAAATCAATTCAATTCATCCAGCTTATGGATTAAGTTGGATATTGTATGTACGTGGAGTGTAAAGCTCCAAGGCTGTACCTGGGCGTCCTCTGCACGACGGGGTGCGGCGTGATGTTGAACTGTAGCTCTAGAGTGCGCGCCTGGCGGGCCGCGCCGCGCGGCATGCCTCGCCCGTGCACCGTCGCCTTGTGCGCTGGCGATCGCGACCCAAGTCAATTATACCACTCATTATATGCCAAATTACATTAAAATAAGTAAATTAGCAGTTCATCTATCATTCCACCCCGTGTGTCGAGTTGTGTTTTATATATTTTTTTATTTATTTACTTCATCGTATCAATTGAAATTGCAATTAAAATAAAATTTGCTAAACTATAGAGCTATTTGTGGGCAACCTATAAAGGCGATGATTGCCCGTTATGTACGAATTTTTACGCTTATTAAAGCATCCAATATGATTCAGAAAATATACTATACAATAGCACTTTCATACATCAATATTTCAAAGAAATCTTAATGAGTTCGCGATTTCCCCTGAATCACTCTGAGAGCATAATCTAAAGATCAAAACCAACTCAGAGAATTTTCTCTTGAAGTCCAGTCTAAACAAACTGAAATGTGAGAACAATGCAGGTTTATTCTATTGTGGTCATTTCAAGAAATATCTACAAAAGTTTGAGTGAATTTTCCCTGAATATATATCAACGTAACCAACCTTTCAGATCAATTTCGCTTCTAAAGACGGCAGTCAAGTGTTGTCCGGCGCACTCCCCCTCCTCACAAAGATAATGATCGGTCCTGAAGTGATGCGCAAGCGCCGAATGGGACGCATAGTACAGATTACGTCCATCAGCGTCGCATAAATGACAGTACAGATGTTCCTTACGCAAATGCCGGTATAATTCATCGGCATCCATGAACCGTTCCTCGCAGAACTCACAGAGAGGGTGGCCCCTGTTGACGAAGGAAAATGGATATTATATCAATGAAATAAAATTTTAATTTAAATGCATAAACTGGAAGGATTTCTGAATAACAAAAGATATTCTCTTTTCATAGATAGGTTGTCATACTTAAAATCATATTGAAAAAAAAAATTGGCAACAAACCAAATAACGGTTTTATCATTAGGAGAAATGCTAGTCGCAACAAAATAGTTTGCCACCTAAAAACAAGCGCGCCTTATCTACGAACAAGTTACGAATATTCAACCACAGTATGCAATACCCAAGTCAACGCGAGTCATGCCGACTTAGTACCAGACACTTACAAAGTTGCAATCATGTTCGATAGAACATAATTCCTTTCTATATCCATTGAAAGGAAGTCTATTATAATAGGTACTCCTATTATATAGGTAATATATTAACATTCGCTATGATTATTAGATTTTGCTTTCACTGATAGCTGTGTGGACTTAAAGCTTTTATCTTTTATTACTATGATAACTTGATAAGAATAATGTATTGTCTATTGGAAATGATTATAGTTTAATGTCCTTATTTTATTATCACAAAACTATAGCTATATTCTCCATGGGGATATTGAAGCTAACTGCAAACACTAACCTTTTACATATCTGTCTCAGCTACCTTCCAACTAGGATTACGACCAAAGCCCTAAGGGGTAAAGGAGACCTTCCGCAGTAAATGATAAAATGATATCACTTCTTTGGACAATAAGACCAGTATTTTCACGTCTCATTTATACAGATTGTTTTTTTTTTTATTTATTTATTTACACTTCTGTATATTATAACATACGATGGCGGACTTAATGCCGGGTGGCATTCTCTAACAGTCAACCATGGGGTGATGCAGAGATGTGCAACAGTAGGTGTAATAGGTATAATGTAAATTACATAAGATAAATTATCAATATTACTAAATAACAATACTATAAAAGATAATATATAAATTGGAAATAACATAACTACTACTACTAATAACTACATATATATATATAATTATATATATTTATATTTACATCCCGCTATCGATTGGACGTCCCATGAAGGCAAAAGTGCATTTAATCTGGCGTCCACCTGCTTTTGGCGTCCGCATACCGGACGCCACTTTTTTGGTCTATGCTACTTAGGTCCTTTTGGTCCTGGCTACACGTAGGTGAAAAATCGACAGAGGCCAAAAAATCGGTTCAATGGCTGTTATAGTATTTTGAAAAGTTCCCAAAGAAATCTCAGCGCGGCTAGAGCGCTGCTGTAGCCCGTATATCCACAGCTGTATATTTTTGGGATTTTCTGACTATAATTCCGCCTATTTGGCGTCCTCAAAAAAAATAACAGCGACGTTGCCAGTTCGCTCATTAAATCTGTCTCAATAGATCATAATATTATCTACCGCATTCGAAACAATATTCACCGTTGTAGATTCGGATGTGTTGCGTATTATTTGGAGTCCGATTTTATTCAATTAGATTTATTTACTTTTTAATACATGTCAGTGCAACTTACGACAACTTATCTGCAATCCTGTTCTCAATTTGTCAATGAGTACCTATCACTGATATATAACAGATGAGGGTATAAATTAACTACTTAATGGGATCTTAGAAATAAGTACTAAAGTGACAAAATTATATGTCTTACCACAAAAAAAGGTTAACCAGAGTTTAACTCGTATAGTATAGTTTCCGTATAAATTTTGACGTAATTTTATTAACTTTATCTATTTTTGTGGTTAGAAGGTGCATATAACACTGAATAATTAATGAATGTTGTATAGTATTACTGATAAAACCAATCAACGTTTGTCTTTTTATT